TCTGAGAGAATTTCTTAGACTGGGGATTTGCAAGTAAATCTGAGCTCTTTTTTTTTTCTTTTCTTGGTGTAAATTAGAAGTAGCTGCACTGTAAACAGTAGGTTTACACTGTCATGAATCTGGTGTCAGAACAAAACAAAGCCCTAAAGGACAGGGAACAGAGTGGTGTGAAGGAGAGAGGCAACACTATTACACCAACTTAATCTGTTCCTCCCCTAGAAGATTTTATCTCTAAAAAACCCAACCTTTCCTAACTCCTTGGACCTCTGTGGCTATAGCAATACTATCAATGGAAGAAAGAGAAATTATTTCAAAATTATTAAAGTCAGACTTCAAAATTTATGAAAATGAATATCCAGAATTAGGTTTCCAAATCCTTATTCAGGTGCCTAAACAATGTCAAGTTGTTTGCACTAGGTGTAGTTCCACTGAAGCCAGGGGGATCACAGTTAGTGTCATATATTAGTGAGGCAGACTAAAAACCTTGGGATTTAGCCCTGAATTTTCTGACTTTGGAAGTCTGAAATATCTATTAGCTCCCTTTGAAACTGATAAAAGTTATTATCTTAGCTTCTTTGAAAATTAGGTCACCTATTTACAGCTCAGATCCTCAACTGATTTATGGCAGCTTAACAAGTTACCATCTATCTGCTGAACAACTATAATTGTCCGTGAAATTCTTTTATTGAAGTTTTTAACAAGTCACATTCCCTCACAGCTGGCGAGGCCAAGGAGCCCATGAGTGGTTATTGGCAGTGACTACGGCTCAGCTGACAGGTGTGACTTGCTGAACTGCTTTGATGAGTGCTTCATTCCTGAATAGGCACCTAAGAAAGTATGAAAGAACTGAAATTTGGAATGACGCCTATGCAGATCTTATGCTAGAAGCACACTCATTCTTTCCTTAGGTGATAAAGGAGCTGTGCATCATGGTCTGCTTGGAGTCCCCCCCAGACACATGGCAGATCTGGTTTTATTTGTTGGTCTACATACCATGCATGGAATCAGATAGAAATGTAAGTAGGGAAAATGCATTGCACTGACTTTTATTTGTGTGGAGTTTTATACCTTAACACAGGACTAAAGTGTGTTGCACACATACAGGTCTGTCTGGGCACACAAGTTCAGATTTTGTGATGACTTTGTATGAAATGTGCTCAGCACTTGTGGGACAGGATGGGAGCAGAACTAAATTGGTTACAGCTACAACATTCTGTCACAGCTGTCCCCTACCTGAATGCGAAAGTTGAACAACCCACAGAGTTTCAATTCCCACTGAACAATGATCTTCTTGCAAAGCTTTGGAAAGTCAGGTGAGATTCCTCCACTGGTGATGTTTCATCCAGTGACTTCCTTTACTGTCAGTTTAGGATCTACCTCCTTGTCTCCTCCAGTGTGAACAGGGAATTTCATCAGGTTAGAAAAATATTGGGTGGAGAGAAAAGGATGGGGTACAGGAAATCTCTAGACCAGTTTTGCCAGTGAAGGCCCTGTATTGGTAAGCAGTACTTTGAGAGACAGAAAATCACCTGTGGAGTTCATCCATCTCTCACTTTCTGGGGCTGAACAGCGAAGGCCTGGGTCCTACTTATGTTGATATAAATCAGAAGAAAAGTCCTTGAAATTAAATAAGTGTAACGAAGCAGAGTTGTAGAGGGTGATGGATACAAACACAGCTTGCTGGAGACCACTTTAGTGTTTGTTTGGTGTGCGGTGACAGCACTGGAGACCCTGGCTGATAGAAAGGATTCACAATCACCAACTGCATGTATAACCAGAGAAGTGGGATTTCATAAGCTATCCCAAAATGGGAATTTCCCCTGAGCCAACATTGTTGTGTCCACAACAGTCTAGCAAGTTGCAATTTCTTTTTATGTCCTTGGAGAAGTTGAAACTAGGTTTGAACGGCACAAATATGGAAAGCCCATTTTTCTTTCAACCAAGACCCCTTCATTTCTATAGGGAGACCCAAGTCCTGGTTTGTTGTCAACCACCTGTCCTGAGCAGGAGTCACTAAGCTGGAGAACACTGGTCTGATGGGAATATAACACAATTGTGGGAAGGATAAGTGCACGCTGTGCACAGAAACTGAGGTGAGAAGAGTCTATTAGAGGGGGAATCTGGTAATTACAATGTTATTGAGTCCTTTCTGCTTGATTGTTACAGCAAAACTTCACATACTCAGTTTACAATTATTTGCACTGAAATGGAGCCTGCTACCTCTCCGCTCCAGTCACTGACATACTATTTTGTGCAAAATAATGAATCTGCACAAATTCAATGTGCCTTTAATGCATCTGCTTAGAAGTTACTGTGAAAAGAAAAATAGCCCAAAACCCAACCAAACCAGGCTTTATAAGCAGATCAGTAGTTCTAGTGCAAAGTAAAGTGGCTTGTTTTTACTGAGTGTGATAAATATTCTCCTTCCAAGACAATGAATTTATGTGAAATGTTCTAGGAATATTTCACGACCAGGTTACTGTACTTTTTTTACTGCAAAATGTGCAATTCACTTGATGTTCTTGTGCACTTTTTTTGATTTTTTTTTTTAAATTTCATTTTGTATGAAAGCTTTTTCATTTACCTCTCCCTTCCCATTATTTATAAAGCTATTGTGGTTTTAAAAGTTTAAATTTGCATTGTTTTTGTAAATAGCAGCTCTCAAATGTTATGTTTCCATCTTTCAAACAAAGTATGAATAAACAAGTAGATTCTGAAGAGCTATCAGCTGTCCTGGATAACAACAGCCAAACACAAAAATATCCAGGAAAATTCTGATTCAATCCCAGTTTGAACAATTAATAATTCTGATTTTAATCTCAGGGATAAGAGAACAGTACATATTACTAAAGAGGAGACAGAGTTGCTATTCTTTGCGAACCTTTCAAAAAGTCTCACACATCCCCATTCAGTGATTTTGAATATACTTAACAATTGTCTTCTGTTCATTTATGTTTTACTTCACTGCTGCTCCAGTTCAAAGCCCCAGCAAGGGCCATCCATGTCACAAAGGATTTTAAAAAGTAACATTAGTTTAAATCTGAGAGTAAGAGCATAAATATCTGAGTCAGAAGTCATTTAGAATTATCTGGTTCGATCCTTTAAAAAACACTATTCTACTACATGGAAAATGTGCAGCAATATGCATTCAAATAAGAAAGACTTTAAAAGAAAAAACAAACAAACAAACAAAGAATTTAACATTCAAAAGAGAGAAACTTGATTTTAACTCCCTTCTTTCTCTGGATTTCTCCAGAAATAATATTTATACAGAGGCTATCCACTTTGCCAAGTATTTTAATTTTGATAGATATGCATATTCTGGTGTGATACACAGCACTGTGAAATTTCCCTTCTGAATTCAAGCAGGAACACTTGTGCACAGCAATCTCTGCAATACCTGTAGTTCATTCCATGACCTGCTCTGCTCACCCAGACCAACACCAAGGAGGCTGCTCTGCACTGACAGCACTGAGACAGAGTTCAGCATCTGGCTTCATCTGGATTACAACAGTGACACAGAGCTATTGATGGACCCCTACTTCCATGTAGAAAATTCCTTGCCTACAGCTCTGTAAATTAAAAGCCATTGCTCTCCAATTAACTTCAATGGGGGTACTGCCTCCGGTTTCTGTTAGTGTCCTTGGGGAGAGGGACAGCTTCCTCAAGGATTTTTTTCCAAAAAGGGAAAGGCATTTAAGTATGTTCCTATCTTCACTTCTGGATCAAGAGCTAACTTGATGTCTTTAACCCCTAGATCAGCTCTTTACCACCTCACACCTTGCATGTAGTTGCAGGTATGTGCTATCAAAGATAGCTCCTGCTCTCTTCCTAAAGGAATAGTTTGTGCAGGATTGATACATACATTAAGTGCTGGTAGCAAGGAGAAAGCAATGAAAGCCATCTCCAATTCTACTTTTGTCTTGCTCTACTAACACATTACAGATGTTGTTTCCATAAAAGTGAACATTGTTGGGATATGTGAAGTTTGGGGAAAGAACTAAATACTTTAGCCTGTGAGTAGTTCGTATTCTAACGAAAGTTGCAACCTGGTTATACAACACCAAGGCCCATCAGAAGATCCAAAATGGCATTCTACAGTTGCCTCAGATGATAATTTTTTTCATTACTGCAATGTGCTTGAATGAAATGCTGCCTGTTTTTTAACCCTTGCAGAGATACCAGGAGTCATAAAGAGCTTCACTAGTCAAAGACCAAACCTATCAAGGCCACTTTTTATTGAATCTGTGTGAAGTTTCCATTAGCTCCAGCAACAGTACAGGTTCAGGCCTCGGGATATCACAGGTGTCCATTCTCTGGCCCTTTTACCCCTCAAAATATTCTTCTTTTGACTGCAGTGATATACTCCAGTATAACTGAATAGATACATACACCTGCAATATTAAACATCTCAGATCTCATGTCTTAGTAACACTTTCTCCATGGGTTTAAGAGAAACCTAACTTAAAAAAAAATTGTAATAAATTCTTCAATGCCAATTTGTTGAAATAATTAGGAAAATACTAGGCAAAACATTTACAGCCAGGTCTTGGGATAGCATCTTAAAATCAGGCAAAACAAAAAACATCTGTGAGCCAGAAATCAAGGCAGGCTGTTCTTTACACTTTTTTCCTTCTATCATACTTCATGGTTTTGTATTAAACTAATACAATTCTTCATTTGTTCTGTTAGTGCAGAGTAATTCCTGATGTGGAAATTCATTCTGCTTCCATTTGCACCAGCTTAATGCTAGCTAATTTCCCAGCATCAGAATTACTTTTAAGTTTATATCAATCTGCATAGGCAGAGATTTCAGCCCTCATATCTCCCTACCAGTTGCAAATAAAACCTGTGTCGACCCCGTGCGATAAAATTAGACAGACTGCATTTGCAGAATCACCAAAATAAAATTAACCTCCTTTCTTGCCTTATTTTTTTCTTTTAATTCTTTCAGTATTTACATACAACAAGAGCTTAAATCATTCACAAGTGTGGTTTCTACATTAAATACTGTCCTTCCAGTCTCCTGCATGCAAAACCAAGCGACCTGAATATCTTGACTTCTCCAGAATTACTTTAAAGTACAAAAACTTTTTGAATGGGTTTAATTCATGTCATTTCACTGCTGCTGCTGCAGGGCAGCCCCAGAAAGATGTTCCCACATGGAGGAGGTCTCCTAGGTGTTACAAGTGCAGCTATGAATGGCCTGCAGCCCCGCTCACCGCGCCTCAGACAATGCCCATCCATGAAAGAGCCCTGGTTTGCCTCATGCTCCATGCCACCGGCTTCGTAAGGTTTATTCCCGATTTACACCCACGTACTGAGAGAAGAGTGGAGCTCAAGTAGCTTCCCAACAGTTACTAATTCCCCCCAGCCCGCCCACGAGGAAGAGGGTGTGATCAGTGGTCTCCTTCCCTTGCAGCTCCACGCTGCCAGCAGCTCATGCCTGGTGGCTGACCGGGCGTTTCAATTCACCCTCAGGAGCTGTCGTGTTCAGCATGACTCCGACACCACCCCGCTAAAGATAGCCAAAAACATTGAAGATGGGTGGGGGGATGGTGGGCTTGGTGGGGATGGGTTTCAGAACCATGGGCCTGTAGAGTTTTTGCCCCGTGCCATCGGCCTCCTTGCAGAAGTGTGGCACCTCCGCCGGCAGTGTGGCTGCACTCTTCCTCCACAGTCCCAGCCCTGGGAAGGGTGATGGGGGCAGCGCTCCCGGGGGCTGGTACACCCCTGTCCCGGGGCAAGGGAAGGGGCAGCAGGTCCAGGCACCCACCCGGCCTGAGAGGACCCCGGCAGGGTCCTTCTCCCCGGCATGTGGTGCAGGGTCAGGAGGGCTCTCTGGGCCAGCAGCATCTGGGCTCCATTTGCTTTTCTTCCCCTCATAGGGAGGAGGGTCTCTGGGGGCTGGGAGCCCCTCAGGACTGGCAGGAAAGGCCCTGGCCGTCAGGTTCTGAGCTGGCCGTGGCTCTTCCCAGAAGGAGGCAGGGAGCTGTCGCTTCCTCATGGGCACCTGGTCCGGCCGGACAGCCTCAGGTTTTTGCTCCTGCAAAACCCGTTCCCCAGTGAGGGTCTCCTCTGCCTCGGCTGTCTGCATCACCTTCTCGGTGGCAGCCCCACCATGGGGGCTGGGGTCAGGTGCCTCGAGCTGGGGGCCACGGCCCCGATCCTCTGCCCCCCTGCGCCAGCCACACTCAGGGGGTTTGCTGGGGTGACACCGTGGCATCCGTGAGTACTTCTGAGAAAACCGCTTGAGCTGCTTCTGTAAGTATTTTCTGTGGTCAACTGACCGGCGACAAGGAGCTGATTTATCCAGAGCCGCTTTGATGTCGCTGGAGGCCAGGTTGACGAAGTTCAGCAGGGTTTTTACCTCACTGTCTGATGCCATTTCACTGGATGCACCGTGCAGAGTTTCTCATGGAAAGTTTATAATCCGCCTTTGGACAAACCTTGGCAAACCTGCAAAACATGACGGGCAGACTTAAGAGCAAGAAGCTTTGGTTCAAATAGCACCAAGCAAATGGAGGGAAGGTGGGGGGACGTGTCAAACTTCTCAGCCACCCAAACAAGTTGTCCGTCAGCTCGCCTCCGTGCAGGCAAACTCCTGTTGGAGCCGACGCGTGCCCGCAGCCCACCGCCCCGCACTGCTGCCCCAGCACACACCGGCACGGGGACTGGCTCATGAATGCCAGCCAGCTCGGCGCCTAATCTTGTTAGATAGCTCTGAAGTGGGCAGAAGCCGGGGTGGCCTCCCTGTAAGCAAGCACGGACACTCACCCGGCGCGCGGCAGCTTTTCTCACCGGTGCTGGCGGCTGCGTCGCTGCAGAGAAGAGCCCCTTCCCTGCTAATCTCGTTAGGCAGGTTACACACCGCCAACCTCGGCGGAGGCAGCCAGGGCCCGCCAGTGTTTGGATGCAGTTTAGCAAGCACTTGAGCAAGCTGAATGAATATCGACTCCGGCGAGTTCGGGGCTCTCCCAGGCCAATCAGAAGCCACTTTGCCAAATACAAAGCATCCCAATCAGGCATCAGCCTCCCCTCCTTGCATTCTTTGCCATCACAAATTGTCTCCATGGGGACAGCCGCAGAAAGACAGCTAATAAATACAATCATTTCCCCACGATTTCTACCATTCTCCCCATCCTCTTCACCCCTACGGAAGCCTTTCTTTTAAAAACAACACAATCTAAGAGAAAATGCTTCAGGATAAGGACGAGTTAGGAAAGTTTAGACACCCTTTTCCCTGCGCTCCCCAAAGCTCTCTGGGGGCTGATACTAACCATGCTTCATTGGCACAGGACAATGTAATACGGGGGACTGGACTAGCCTACTTTTAACCGTTCCCCATCAGAGCCTTTTTTTTTTAAGGGGAGGATGATGTCAGAAAAAGGTAGGAAAGGAACAAATCTCTAAAGAGATGTGCAGATATCCATGGAAAGGGAGCTTGAGCGCTCAAGAATCTTGTCTTTATGTTTACCCCCTCAATTGAGTTACACAAAAGCTGAATTACCCATTCAAACTACCCGAACAAAAGGATGGAGTTGGATAGTACTCTTGCATCTGTAGTCAAACAGTTAGAGACTTAAATCGAGTCGTCATGATGGAGAAAGAGTTAGACAAAGCCCATAGAATTGCCATCAGCAAACATTTTCCTGTGTCATATTAGTGGGTCTCCATGACTCCCCCTGGCCTGGGGACAATAGCACAAGTTTGCACACTCGACTACTGTCACCCTGCCAACGCTGGCAAGGAGCAGAAACAGGACAATCCTTTAAGGGGAAAGCATGCCCGCTGCAGGGAAGGTAAGAAGAGAGGGAAGAAAAGGCGTGTGAAATGCTAATTGAGCTGCTTCCTTTACTGATGCAGAGTTATGTGAGCCCTTCGCCTTCTCGCAGGCTTATCCCTAAGGGGTGGCAATTACTTAATAGCACAGTAAAACCTAGAGCTGGAGGAAGAGGAGAGCAGAAAAGCTCCCCTTCATGTGCACTGGACACATTGATGACACAGAGCTGGCAGCAGCCTATATGCCAGCCGGGATTTGTTGCCTTCCACAGCTGGAGCAGCGATGCTCCCTCTCCAGTCCGCACTCTAGGGATGGGAAGACTGGAGAGGGCCACAGGACCTGTGCACCCACTGTCAGGGAGATGCTGCCAGCTCTGAACCAAACACACACATACCATGCAGAAAGCAGGGACTGAAGTCCAAGCTGTTTTGCAAGTAAAATCTACCTTACTGATGTAAGGCATCAAAGGCCTGAGCACTAAGGGTTGAAAACAGCTATATTTTACAATTATTTTACTGACAGTTATTTTACTTTATTTCTATCAATCCAATTTTCATCAGAGGAAGTCAAGATCTGGACTGTGCCTTTATACGAAACCCTGGGCAGAGGCCTCAAGGATGACTCTTCAGTGTCTCTGTATTGGTGCACGCAGTGCTGACATCCCTATTCACATAATTTCTTCCAGTGTGGCCTGAGCCACATATGATGGTGTTTCAGGTGTTTCAGGTCTAGGGAGACACCGGAGTCAGGACATCCTGCAACAGAATGTGCTACAGAGTTTATGGCACTGCAGTGGGCTGTAACAGAGTGGCTGATTTGCTACTTGCAGATGTGCCTCTCTCCTCCAGCTTCTATTTCAGAAGCAGTTCATTCCCTAGCAAACCTGGGGCAGTAAGACCTGTCTGGACCCTCTGTCATCTACTTATGCCAGCATTCAAACCTCTGTTCTCTTTTCAGATCATTTGTGGGGGGTAATTTCCAGTCACCTACTTGAGCATCTATTTCAGGATTCACTAGCTGGAGCTTGGCCCCTCTCTGTGGCCCGACACAGACACTTCTGTGCACCTGAGGCTATAGGGAGAGGTTTTGTCTAGCTCACTGAAAGAGATGTACACCAAGGGATCATGTCTCTGTTTGCAGGAACAAACTGCCTCCTGTGCTTGAACTTCCAAACCCAGTCTGGACATCACAAAGCACAGTGCAGTCTCCCATTAGAGCTAGTTGATCTCCCAAGGGGGTAAGAGGGGGAGACAGAGAGACATGTGACAGATGCCTGGGAGTAAAGGATTGTCTCAGCATTTTAATGAACTATGTCCTCAGAGACCTGAGAAACTCATGCCATGTATTATGTGACCTACATCCAATCATAGAGGCTCAAGACCCTGTTCTCTGAGACTGATGGCTAAGGGGTCAGTTGACTGAGGAGGGTGGATATGGCTTGCCTGCTTACTGGGGGATAATGAAAACCCACCACCCCTCCAACATACTTACTGCAGAAGCCCATTCCAAGCTCCTAGACTACAGCCATGCCCATCCTCTCCCAGAAGGATGCTTGTGCAGGATGTGGCTTCTTGGGCACCACATAGCAGGGCTGGAGGGGTTCCCCATGCCTTGCTATGCTCAGTGCTCCTGAATCTCATTCTCCTGCAGCTGGGTAACAGTGGGGTGCCAGAGGGGAATGAACCAGCAAGCAGGATTTAAAAACCAGAGCAACCCACCCTTTCAAGGTCAGACTCAGGTTGAGCTGCATAGGGTTTTCTCTAAGAGGCCACCGGAGCCCTTTTGTTCCTCGCTGCTCTCACCATGTTCATCCCAATGTACATGTGAAAGAAACAATTAACAATAGGGCACTCCTCTACGAGGATCCAATGCACTTTGAAGTGTCCACCAACCAAAGGCTCAAGAATGATACATCATTTTCCACTGTGAACGTGTCAAACTAGTACAGCAATTGAAAAAATGTCTCCACATGCCTTCCCAGCATGCAGACAGGGACCAGCTGGAGAGCCACTTCATATCCGACATGTCACCCCCTGACAGCTGTCTTCTTGGGAATTTTTGGTATGTAAAGTTTTCTGACTCCTTTTTTAAAGTAAAGCACAAGAATTAATCAGTTCATTTGAAAATTGCAGCCAGGTCTCTCCTAAAATGCAGTATTTCCTTCAAGACTGAATGAAGAAGATTTTCTTGCACAAAAATACCTGCAAAGTGTTTTTAAAGTGTCACTCATTGTAAGTGATGTCAATATTTAGTCAATTCTACATCAAAATCTCCCACAGCTTTTTTCCAGGCTGAGGGGCCCATTCAGCAAAGGTATTCCAGCACCAGGCTGTCCTGGACCGTGTGAGCAGACACACTAACCACAACACACACCATTAACCGGGGCAGGGATCCCTCTCTCCTAAGTGTCACAAGCATTTCAAAGAGCAGGAACACCCAAATCATGCTGGTAAAGCAAAAGGCAGTTCACTAAACAGATGAGCAGCAAAAAAATGTCTGACGTCACTGTTCTGACACTAGTTCACTCAAAATTCTTTTTCCTCCACTAAAATGAAGCTTTTTCTACATCCTAACCTGAGTAACAGGTTTTGTCACAGGGTTCACCCTACTGTCAGGAGGAGAGGAGAGGAGAGGAGAGGACTCCTTGTTGAGGCTAGTGGATGTGCACTTCGAAGCAAAGAGAAAATGGGGCTCCAACAGTTGGGAAACGTAAGACAATAAGCTGGAAAATTTCCAGATGGGTCACCAGTGAATTGTTCCTTTACTTTGTCCCCTACAGGCAGTTAAAAGCAAAGATATTTCAGTTGCATAGCATCTTTTCACTCACCTGCTGCTTCCTAAATCTCTGCTTTACCTCCACACTTGAAAAAGAGGGGAGGTGATAATGGTTCATGTGAAACCAGAAGTACTGGCCTGGAGAGGAGTAGTATTGAGACGGAGGAAGACCACTAACACTCTTACTCAGGGATCCTGATTTTAGATTTCATGTTGACAGTGACTGAAGTGGAAAGATGTCAATGACACACTGATGGCATAAAAATGGATGTTATTTAACATCAAACTGCAAGAATTGGGTAATCTTAGGAGTAAATGCAATGAGAGAGGAAAGGATTGCAGTAACTCTGAGCCACACACCTCAGGAACTGATAGCAGGAATTTCTGTCATGAGGAAAAATATCACTGCCTGGAAATGAGAAGGAACAACAGCTCATAGGATGAAAACAAACCTCCTCCATCTAGTCAGACCTTCAAAGTGGCAGGGGGGAATGGGGTGAGGGAGACAAGTAGTGTGGTACTGATACTGTTCAGGCCTCCAAACAGGTTGTTCTCTAGACTTAGAGCCTGGTCTCAGCCTGGGATGTGAGCCTGGCCAACTCAGGACCTGTGGATTCATATGAAAGGGATGTCTGACAGAGTGTGCATAGGGGTGCAACCAAAGCCCTTGGCATCCCTTCCTGCACCCCAGCACACAGGTGCTGCAGACAGCAGCAGGGATGTCCTGCCCTGGCACTGATCCTCATGAAGCCTGGTCCTGCCCCAGAGCTCAGGGAAGGAGTATATGAGTCCTCTAATCTCAGGGAAGGAGAATATGGAATTTCTTCCCAGATTCCTGCTGTCCAGTTGTGCACTTTACTCTCT